ACATCTCCCATAAGCCTTTTGATTCCTTCCTTCATAACACAATAGGGAAGATGCTCATCGAGTCTCAATTTCACTCAAACAGCTAAGTCATAACCAGCTGTACAAACCAACACATTAAGCCCATAATCTCAGGTAAGGCACTTGTATCAATAAATTCAACTTTTATTGAATGTATTCAACTGTCCTCCTTGGTCTAACACCCTTAGAATCCATTCTTGCACATACTCCCCAGGATGCTGCAATGTAGTTTAGCAAAATCTTGCCATTCTTTCAGTGGAGAAGCTGTATCTTCCCAGATCACACTCTGTACTTGCCCTGTTTGAACATGTGGAGCTCTGATGCCAGTTGTGAGTCTACTGGCCATAAGAGGGAGCGGGTTAAGTCTTGAGGAGAAAAGGTATCCCTTGCAAGATAACTGCCCTGGGTGACCTTATCAAAGTGTCCTTAAGCAAGGGAAAGTGAGTATTCCCACACATAACTTGCAAGCTGCTTCCACTGGCAGGAGAGGCTGAGAATAACTCAGAGGCTCCAAACTTTCAGCTTCCTCTGAGCCCACCAGATATCCCCATTTTAACTCTCTTTTTTTGGAGGCACAAATACGACAAAATTTTTATTTCAAAGTCTCAAATTTTGACCAGCAGAGCACCACTGACATGGGCACCCTGATAGAACTTTAAGATTTGGTTACCAGAAATGATTATGCCACATATAATTAAGGCTAACCAATCAAAATCCAAGTTCCCACTCCTTCCTAATCAATGGCCTAACTTTCACACAAGAGATTGGCAAGGCTGTAAATTCAACTCACTTTGTAATTATGCAAACCACACAATTAAATTTTATGTCATTTTCAGCAATATTTACCCTAATTCACCTTATTTATTTATAAGAAATAAATTTACTATTTTAGTAAATAACTTATATTATTATTGGTGCTTATTTCTAGTTAAGCTCTCTGGTTCTCTGATTGTGACCCATCTTTAAGGGTTGTTTCTTGAGACCACTCCATTTAGGGTCTAATCAGGTGGAAAAAAAGGAAGTTAACATAAAGAACTGTTAACTAGGTAATCTGGAGGTAGCAACTGCAGGAAGCAGCTATCACTATCAGGACTAGAAAAACAAAGGGAGGGACTTCACTGGTGGTCCAATGGCTAAGACTGCACTCCCAATGCAGGGCGCCCAGGTTTGACCCCTGATCAGGGAACTAGATCTCACGTGCCGTAACTAAAAGATCCCACGTGCCGCAACGAAGATCCCATGTACCACAACTAAGACCTGGAGCTGCCAAATAAATATTTTTTTAAAAAAACGGGAAAGGTTGGAATTATTTAAACTTAGTAGTATATGGCATGAGCTCTTAGAGCTGAAACTCACACCTCTGCAGTGGGTAGCTGCTTGCCTGGTGTCTCTGAGCTTGGAGAAAGGGTTCCTGGTGGGCTGGGGCACTCCATTCTGGATGGGCCTGTGTGAGCCCCACCATCTCCACCCAGCCCTCAGCCCCCCAGCGGCTGCTCTCTGCAGAGCCTCCGGATCTCACCCTGCACCTGTGTGGTTCCGGATCAGCCAAAGGTTGAAGGGGAATTTCTACACCGACTTCCAGGGTTCCCTCTCTGTGGTTCCTCCCTCTTTTGTGGCTGCCTCCCCACAAAACCCAGCTACCTGAGCCCTGAACTCTGATCTCTGCCTCATCTGTCCAGGAGACCTTCTGCCATCTGCTTGGGCTCTACCTCCCCATACTGTGGCCTGGGAAACCTATCTAGGAGGAAGGTCTGGGTAGATGTGGGGCTCACGTTATGTGTGTCCCCTCTCAAGGATCACAGCCCCACGATGGAAAATACTATGCAGCACCTGCACACAGCTGTTTTCGTTATCTGTCCAGGTTTTAGAGTTGTTTACGGCAGGAGGCAAAGCCCTCTACCATTTACTTGGCTGCTCAGCACCCGAGGCCCCATCTTTGCAGAGCTCTACATCTTGTATGTCCCCTCTTACACAGCACTGGATTGACATCTGTGCCCCTAGAACTGCCACCCCTCATTCATGGGCTTCTCTCTGGAAACCCACCTCTCCTTCTACTCTAGAATGGTCCAGCAGAGGCCTGGAGACAGGGCTTTCATATTCCCTCAGCCTGGATGGGGACCTTCTATGCCTGGCCTGACTGTCATGCTTGAGATTCAAGGGTATGGCCTGTGGATGGAGGGTCCTCTGCTCACGTGAGCCCCTCTCCACTCCCGGAGGGCAAGTTAGATATGAACGGAGCCGTTCATATCTACATTCACAGGAGGAGTGAATCGGTTGGGACGTTCACACCCATGTTAGCAGCTGCTGGGTGTGTGTGCATCCACCCTGAGTGGGGCATTAGCCAGCTTTCCCTGTGTTCTCGCTGGGAGCAGAGGACGTAGACACTCACGCCATGGGAGCTCATACCTGCCACGTGGCAGAGGTGCCTCAACCTCCTTTCCCGCCGGGAGAATTCATCTCCATTTTTCCCATAATCCTATGGGCCCACAGGTGTTGCCCACAGTGCTAACTGGTGCTCTGGGAACCAGAGTTCGCTGGGCTATGGGCTTGCCGGCAACTTTTAAAAGGAAATGGATGCCTATCACCTTCAAAGCTTTGGAATGTTTTCTCCAACCAGATACCACAGGCTCAGTGTTGGAAAATGAGTCTTCTGCTTTAATTCTGAGTCATGCTTACAGAATGCTCTTCCTACTACTTAAAAGGCATGCAGATCATTGTAAATGTGCCTCTGTGACTGTGTACCCCAACCTGCAGTAAGCACACATTAACTTCATCATTATAACACCATTCAATTACTGCACTCTCAATGTTTGCATTAAAAGCTGGCAAATCATTCCTGTGTACATTTATTTGCCAATCACGACCAGCTTTTGTCCAGTCCAGGTCTCAGGGCACTGTACCATGGGAATCGTGGCTCAGTTTGAAGGACTTAAGAGATCCTCTCACCCAATCCCTGATGCTTTGATCCCCTCCACACTCCTTGCCATCCTTGAACTCCTCCACTGACAGGGAGCTCACTACCTCTGGAGCAGTCCATTCTCACTTTGGACAGCCATGACCATTTGAAAGTTTGAACCCATTAGGAAGGATGTTTCTGAAAACCAGCATGGAGCTTATCTCTTGTTTTCAGGCCCTGCTTTGTTCCGTTTAACATTATAAGTGTTTCCTTTACATCATTAAACTATCTTGAATTTCTGCACGTATACAAAACCACATATTTACAAATATGCCTTCATACTAGACATGCAATTTATCATTGCTATTTCACTAAACAATATATTACAAACATCTTTTCATTGCACTTAAGCTACCTCTCCTTCCTCATTTTCAATGCCCAGATAATCCTTTATTGTTGGATATACCATAATTTATTTAATCATTGCCTATCAGTGGGCATTTAGGTTTTTTCCAAATTTTTGCTGTAGTGACCAACTCCAGAATGAAATCTTCACACATAGTGATATTTCCTTAGGAGAGGCTTATAGAAGGGTGTAGAAGGTCAAGGGGTGTGAGCACTTTTAAAGACCATTCCAGGTAAAGACAGCAGCCTCCTGGTTGAAATCAATTGCTAATAAGTACTGAGAGCCATGTCGAGTGCTATACCGACATTATTATATTTAGTCCTTATCACCATCTACCACCACTCCCATGGTACTTTGCCTGTACCTGTTCTATGCATCTACTTGCAAGGGAAGAGCTGCAGCAGGCCAGGCAGCTGGCCCTGCTCTGACCACTACATAAAGTGGCCTCTGCAGGGGATCCTTTTGGGAATAAGGACATCTCCTGAAAGCTGCAAACTGGAAAGGACCTTGAAAAGCAAAATGGACATCACACAAGAGTACTGTAGCTGGTCTTCCCAGACTCCAAGAGGCTTCCTCCATCTCTTCTCTAGAAATTCAGAAAATAAAGAAAACAGCACAGGGTAAATGAGGGCTGGGGGTGAAGGCATGAAAAGCCACTCGTAAAGTCTGGTCAACAAGTCCTTCTTTCCATCCAATGTCTTCATTTGGCCACACATTAAACTCCAGCAATCAAGACTCCCTTGAGTTTCTCGTCTGGGACCCCTGCCAGGACTGGGCCATGGACGGGGTGCAGAGTCTGACTCTGCGCAAGCACAGGGGCCATAGGAATAAAAATCTGACTGAAAGAACCTGTTCCACTGTGTCTTCCCAACACGCACGCCCCACTATGCCAGAGATACGCTGCCGCTTGTGCTCCAGGACATCAGAGCATTATTTGCAGTAGCGAAAGTACTGAAAACAACTGGTTAAATAACTACGTTTTTGTGCAGTTAAACACTTTGCAAAGTTAAAATGTCCAAGGACAATCCAAAATGTATCACCATCTCATCACAGCCAAAGTCACGGCTGACTTTGAGATGCACCATGACTTTATGTAGCATTATGGCGGAAAAAAGCCAGTTAAACTCCACTCCATTGATTGTATTTACAGACGGTCAGTTTCACAGATGGTAAGAGGTAGGGAAACTATGGGAAATACCGTGGGTAGAAAAACCAAGTGCAGAGTAATGTGTAGAGCATGCTTGTGTGTGTGTGTGTGTGTGTGTGTGTGTGTGTGTGTGTTTAAAGGGAGGGGCTATGCAATCATACGTGGTTTTATAAACATACAAAATTCCTGGAAAGATACCCAAGAACCTGATAAAAGGTGTAGCCTCCTGAAGCTGGGGCGTGGGATACTGGGTCATAGGGTGGAAGGGAAGCCCTCATTTCATAGTTACATCCATTTGTAAACTTTGAAATTTTAAACTATATATTCCCTTTTTAAAATAAAACTTAGAAAACTACTAAATGCAAAATAAAATAAAAGAGCGCATCCTTCTGGATTAAGTGGAATAGTACCTGGAGCTAACCTCGGATCCGGAGACCGTACATCCAATCATTGCTCTACCAGAGCGACCTCGGGCAAGTTCCCGCCCCGACTGGGTCTCCAAGAGCCCATTGGCTGTCGGAGAGCAGGTCTCAGAACACCCCTCCAGCTCGGAACCCGGGCCGGGCCAGGAGCCTACCGGGCCGCGCTAGTCCGGGGCCGAGCAGCCGAGTGCGGGAGCCCCGCGGTGCAGGCCCGGCCAATCAGCGACTGCGAGGCGGGCGGGGTGGAGGCGCCGCGCTAGCTGAGCGGAGTTCCAGGCAGAGGCGCCACTGCCGTGCCAGAGCGGACCATGCCACGCTCACCCGTGCTCTTCCTGCTGCTCCTTCTGCTGCAGCCGCAGCCGGCACCCGGCCTCGGGCTCCGCGGCGCGGGCGGCCATAACCCCGAGTGCGATCCGTGCCGGCCGGAGCGCTGTCCCGAGCCCACGCGCTGCCCCGCGCCCAGCATCGCTGCGCGCGACGAGTGCGGCTGCTGCGCGCGCTGCCTGGGCGCCGAGGGCGCGAGCTGCGGGGGGTGGGCCGGCGTGCGTTGCGGCCCCGGGCTGGTGTGCGCGAGCCGCGCCGCGGGAGCCGGGCCCGAGGGCACTGGGCTCTGCGTGTGCGCGCAGCGCGGCGCCGTCTGCGGCTCCGACGGCCGCTCGTACCCCAGCGTTTGCGCGCTGCGCCTGCGCGCCCGGCAGGTGCCGCGCGCGCACCCCGGCCACCTGCACAAGGCACGGGACGGACCCTGCGAATTTGGTGAGTCTGGCTTCTGCCCTGCACTGCTGGGGCGGGTAAAGAAAGAGGGACCCCGACCCCCTGGGCTATGGGGTGAAGGATCACCCCGTGCGCCGCGATGGACAGCACTGCACGGGCCTCAGTTTTCCCTCGGGTCAGTTTTTCCTTACCTGGCCAGTTACTTAAGGAGGCCGGGGCAGGAATCCACAACCTTTACCCTTCCTTACCAAACCCATGGAGACACCAGCCACCGAGCTGGTCGTAATTTTGATGAGCCTGCTGTCCCTTTTGGTACTTAAGTAATTGCTGGTACAGTTATTTCCAGGCCTGGCATGTTTGCCTCCAGGAGACTGGGAGTTTGGGGAGCAGGGTGTTCCTACTGGAGATGAGGCAAGAAGGCCCCTGTCCCTGGAAACTTGGAAATAATGTGCTGCCCACTGGGGGGTCTGAGGCAGCCCCCGAAGCACAGGAAAGTCACCGCTGGCTGTTCCTGGTTGGGGCTCCCAGTGGAGGAGAGAGCTGGCTGGTGTTTCCCTGGCTGCAGCCTTGGGCTGGTTCCTTCCAGGGGCTGTGTCAGCCCCTGTGGAGCCACTGTAGAGGTTCCTCCACTTCAAACCTTTGTTTCTGCCCTGTGGCATTTAAACAGTCCTGTCTCCTTTCTTCTCGTTCCTGTCACCTGCTTTTACAATCTGCTTTCCTCAGCAGTTAATTCACAGGCAGGTCTCTTTGTTTCCAGACAGGTAACACTTTCACTTCACATGCAGGAGACATGAGAAATGCTGACCAGATCCCCAGACTCTAACCCGTGCTGATGGTCTCAGATGATTCCTCCCGGGGCTGGTATTCTGTTCCTAAGAGACAGCTGCCTTGAAGGCATTTAGACCAAATCTGCTGTTATGCAGAGGAAACTGAGACCCATGGGGCAAGGGACTCATCCAGAGTGATCTGTAAAGCCTGGCTAGCTTCTGGGTCCCCGGCACCCTATTCAGTACTGTTTCAGGACAGGACTTGATAGTGTTAAGTCAGGCAGGTGGCGGTTGCCATGGTTACCAGAGTGTGGCCAGATGGCAGATGGAAGCCCCATACCCCTAATTCATTGAAAATTACCAAATGACAAGTAAATGTGACAGCCCCTCCACTCTGATCTGTGGACTCTGAGCCCACCTCAGGCACAGGCCCTGGGAGTAAAGATGTTCATGGGGCCGAACAGAGGCAATTCAGAAGCTGCTCTTAATGATCCCATTAGTGACAGGCATCGGGCCTCCCCAGAATTTTGCTCTCCTTCCCTACCAGCGATTGTGTCATCAGCCACTATCCAGACCCCGGCACTGTTTCCCCATCTCATTTTGTCCTGAAATGTTTGTGTGGCCCCCCTGCCCTTGTGTCCTGGTGAAGCATGAAGGTGTGGACGGGGGATCTTTTCCAGCCAGGGAAGGCAGCACCTCATTCTGTGCTGCCCTCAAGCCATCCTTTATCCAGATGACTTGGCAGGAGCACTTTTTAACAATGCCCCTGGGGACCTTGCTTGAAGGGAAACAGACTGTCAGAGCAGCAGCTGTTCTGCTTCAATATTGGTAATAAAATCACCCCTCCTCAGTCCTCACCTGTGCCTTCAAATAAGCAAGCACCTGACTTTAAGGGAATGAGGCCTCTGTAAATATTAGGCTCCCGCAGTGTGGGAAGTGTTCTTACCCATGCCTCTGAGGGGCATTTGGAAACAGTTTTCAGGCTTAAATTCTGACCTTTCCCCCTACTCTCTGAAATGCCCCAAAATGCTATTAATGAGAGTAATCCTTTGATCAACACACATGTATTGAAGACCCACTATGTTCCCACATAAGAATAATTCTTTGCTGTTGGAAATCGCTTTTGCATTCCATCTTCTTCCTTGATTTTTACAACTACCCTGGCCAGGTCTCACTCCCATTTAATAGAAGGGCAAACTGAGGCAGGCAGAAGCGAATTCCCTGGAGCCACATAACTAGTTCCCAGCTGAGGTGGGGCTCCAGCCTGAGTTTTCCTGGCTGTTTTCAGATGGGGCCATGCACCTCTAGCACTCTGGAAGGTGCTGCAAATTGGCTACGCTTGAATCTTCAGGGTTTCTCAGTCTGAATCCACCTTCCTTTTTTCCCCCAAGGCTTGTTGCTGGTTCCTCTGTTTAGCACCAGGTGATGGCTCCTGAGAGGAACAGGTATAGCTTCACAGAAGGGGAGGCACCTGAGAGGAGCCTTGAAGGATGGGTAGAAAATTCCTGGGTTGAGAAGGGGGGATGGGGAGGCACAGCATGAACGAATACAAGGAGGAAGGAGATCCTGGGCCGAGTGTGAACAGTGGACCCGTGGGCAGTACCCAGTGGGATGGTTGGCAGAGGAGATGATACCCAGAGTAGTCTGGGGCAGGCTTATTGCAGGCCTTGAGTGCCATGCTGCAGGGTGACACTTCATTCTGTACTGAGTTATTAGTTCCATTTCTCAACAGTAAGGTGGCATGGCGTTGTTGTTACTGTTATTATCAGTGACAATACTGTAATTGTTATTGTTATCATTACTTTAAAAGGCTGCTTTGGGGGAATTCCCTGGTGGTCCAGTGGTTAGGACTCCAAGCTTCCACTTCAGGGGGCATGGGTTCAATCCCTGTTCGGGGAACTAAGATCCTGCATGCCACGCAGCCAAAAATAAATGAAATAAAATAAAAGGCTGCTTTGTTCCATGTACGCACCCTGTTTGCTAGCATTGGGAGGAGGTTGGGATCCTGCAGAAAGCAGGTTGAGGTCGTGTTTTGAATGCTGCATTAAATAGGAACGGGGTCCCGTGCCAGTGCCCGTGGGGGCACTGAGACCCTGAAGCTTCAGTGAGCTCTTGAGATCCAAAATCTTAGAAAATTCGCCTCGGTTGAAATTCCAGCTGCACTTAGAAACCTCAGTCTGTGCAAGGCGTGTGTTACCAGGTAACCAGGAGAGGCAGCGAATACCACTTTGTGAGAGGGACAAAGAAGGGGGGCCTCGTGCTCAAAAGCCTTTCATGCCGAGGGAGGGGGCTTGAGGCATAGGCTGCAGGGAGCCGGATTAAGCTGTTTCTGGTTCCACATCCTCACGTTGACTATTAGCATAAATTATCAGGGTTGTTCAGTGTGTTGATGATTAAAGTCTTTGGTTGTGTGCTTTTTTCATACGAGCAGATGGGTTCCTGGCGGATGACTTCTGATATTCTTTCCTTCCCGAGCGCCATTAACTTTAAAGAAATCTCAGAGGCATTAAGGAAGATCTTTCATTCCAGCCATCAAAGACACTCAGTTGACGGGGTGGGGGGACAGATCCCCACGCACTTAGCAATATCGATCCCTTTCATTTGTATAGATCCACACGGTTAATAACACAGTCACATTCATTCTCTCCCTTCACCCCGGAGGATGTAGGGCCACAGTCATTATCCTCATTTGCAGATAAGGAGGAAATTGTTAGCAGCTTGCCCAATGGTTAGCGACCAGGCCCCTGGGCATTTGAATTTCCCTTGGTGCTATTTGGCCCACCCCCAGTGCCCACCTGGGTGACTATTCTGTTACCTGATGGGTGGGTTTGTGCCAGCCTAGCATTTCCAGGGCTGTTGCTGACACAAGCAGAAGGAAACAAGTGTTTAGCAAGGAAGAACTAGGGAGACAAAGCTGGCACATTCACAGACCGGGCTGACCAGACACCATCCTCCCTCCTGAAAGCCACATGACTCTTGCCAAAGGCAGGTAGAAAGGAGAGCCCTGGCTCTTCCAGGAGTGTGGCAGCTCGGGCAGCAGCAAGGTGAGAGGCTGCGCCCCGGGCTCGCCAGAGTGAGGGCTCTGGGCCACGGCCTCTGGAGCCTTCAGGCGGGGCCCGACCGGTAGGCCCACTCACCAGAGGTCAGTAGAGGGTCCTGAGCAGGCAAGGCATCTTCGAGGAGACCACCCTTTGGGGTGGCACAACCTGCCGAGTCCTCAGGTCCCTCCGTGGAAGCCTTTTACAGTTGGCAAGAGGTCTTTTTACTGTCCTCACAACAGCCTGTGTAGAGGGCACAGCGGAGAGAATGGACTCCTGTGCCCATTTTAAAGAAGAAACTGGAGTGTGGCAGAGACAGGATTGAACCTGCCTGTGGTAGTCATATGTGGAGGACCCCAGCGCCACACTCGAATGAGCCCTTGGGGACAGTAAGACTGGGAATGTCCTGCCAGGGTTAAGGATACATTGCCCATTTAATGGTATCTTCACAAGAGCTGTTCTCTGGGGTGATTATGGAGAGTTTCATTTCTGTGCACAAAAGAGTAAACATAGCAGGCCTGAGGCTGTTATCCTTAGAAAGCCCTGCTGGCGAGGCTGACCCTTGGCTGGTGTCTGAGAATTTGGATGTGGGGAGGCTTCCCACCGTTTCCAGAACTGATAAGAGTAGCTCACTGTACAAACAGCATGGTTTATGCTGCACACCTGCTTTACTTCTGGGAGTCTGGAATTTTGGTACGTAGGAGGCAGAGGCTGGGGGACTGGACCCCAATAAAAACCCTGGGCACTGAATGTCTAGTGAGCTTCTCTAGTAGAGGGCATAGGCTCTCACGCCACACGTGTTGTCACAAGTCGTTGCTGGGGAATTAGGCACGTCCTGTGTGACTCCACTGGGAGAGGCTCCTCAAAGTGTGCTCCTGGCTTCCCAGGTCTTTGCCCCATGAGCCTCTTTTCCCTCTGCTGAGTTGCTTTGTCTCTGTTTGTTGTAATAAATCCCAGCTGTGAGTAAACTGTGCCGAGTCCTGTGAGTCCTTGTAGCAAATCATTGATCCTGGGACTTATCTTGGGGGCCCCCAACACAATCCCTAAGGAACTCTTTCTTATTCTGGAATGGAGTCCATATGGCTAACAAATGTTTCACTTTAAAAATCCATGTGGGATTAATGGAATCAGCGTGCCTGGGTTTGCATCTTCACTCCTCCAGGTGCTTCACCTTTCTGAGCCTTGGATTTCTCATCTGTAAAGTGGGGCTAAAAGCACCTACTTCACAGAGCTGGTGTGAGGATGAAAGGAGTAGCAGACATGGAACTCCCTGTCATTTCAGGAGAAGGCAGGATGGTGTGGGACAGAGCTCAGAGCTAGACCGCTGGGCTCATAGCCTCACCCAGCTGTTTAAGGCTGGGTAACCCTGGCTAGCTCCCCCATCTGGCAGCTGGGGAGATTGCTGGAAGGATCGAATGGCTTAAGCCTGTAAGCAGAAGGGTGGTATTATTACCATTAATACTATCATGATAATGATGACTGATTGTAAAGAGCTATTATGGATAAAAATATTTTAAATTTAAAATCAGATGTTAAAATTAAAAACAGATTAAGCAACATGAGGACAATTTTCAAGATAACTGAACAATGCTGTATCTTGGGCATGGTGGTGGTTACACGGCGTATGCATTTGCCAAAACTTAGAACTGTATACTAGAAGGAATGAATGTACTGTATGTACATTTAAAAAGAAATCAAAATTTGAACATCACTTTATCACCAAAAGCAGGGGGCTCTTTTGGAAAAGAAGTGCTATTTTCTGCCTTGAAATTAGTGGCAAAGGCAGTATTTCCAAGATGGTCTTTCTTAATTGTAGTTATGGAAAAAGGGGGAAATGCAAAGAGAGAGAAAGATGAAATGTGATTTACTGGCTTATTCATTTAGGCCTGAAAGGGACTGATGAAATCTCATTTAAAATTTATGACTCTACATGAAAGAAAGTAAAGCATGTTGATTGAGTGTCCCTTTGGAATCTACTGAGGGCTTTGGAATAAGATGCAGGTCTGATTGTTCCCACAGTGAGCCATTTGACGACTGGTTTGGGCTCCAAAGGAAGTAATGCTGGCAGGGGGTTGGAATAAATTAGACTTTCTTTGTCATCCATTGCAGATGGGGCTCCGCCAGAGAACAGCAGTGCTGTGGTTCTTTGTAGCGGTCAGCAGGTGGCTGGGTCACATTGGGCAATGTTAGAAGCCTAGAACCTTAGTCCATTCAGGGGACTGGCTACAATCGGGGCTGTGGGTAGCGGTGTGGTGCTTGGAGGGCGTTCAGTTGGTCACAGCTGAAGGAGTGAGCTGATCAGGCTGAGGGGGAAGAAAGCAGCCTGGGGGTGAGGAGGGCAGGGTCTGTATTCAACTCACTGGAAGCCATTTGAGGCACCCAAGGTGCTGTGGGGCTCCTGAGGGCAGCCCTGAGATTAATAGGTGGGAGTTACAGGAGGTGAGTTTTAGCTCCAGGTGAGAACAAGGTTTCTAACCAGCAGAGCCAAGGACGGAAGGACCTGGCTTCATAGGTAGTGAGCTCTCCATCACTGGGGGCATGCAAGTGAAGACTAGATGAGCCCGTCACAGATAGGCACATGCTCTTGGGGAGTTGGGCCCCTCCAGTTTGAGACTCCATAGCTCTAAGACACTTTCCCAGAGATTTTTTGGCACCAGTTTGACAGGGTCTGCCTCCCAGTCTGTCTGAAGGGGTCAGGCCAGTCTCATTTCTGCGCCCCTTCACTCCTTCTCTCCATGCTCTTGCTCCAGCCTTCTGTCTCTCTCCCTTTGTTCTCCTTTTTCATTGCAGCCCCACCTAGGTGGGCGAGGGCCCTTTCTCTCTCCAAGGCTGGCCTGTGGAGGGCTGCAGGGATGGCTGAGTCCCCAGATGAAGCCCCAAGAGTCGTGAACTCTGCATTTTGATGGCCCAAGGGTGAATGTGTTTGCTCTTTTGTCATGCCTTTCTTCGCGGAGTCATCTGTTTAACAGGCCTCCCCTGCCCTCCACTTGCATATTGTGTTAACTCAAACCCTCAGTTTCACACTCATCACGTGGTAAGATCAGCTCAACAGCCCTGTGAAGCAGGGGGTATTATCCTCATCTTACAGACAGCAGACCTGAGCAGAGAGCATACTCCTCACCAAGCCTCCACATTGCGCCTCGCCCAAGACCCCACGGGGACAGCTGCGAGCGTGGGTCTGTGGAGATGAAGCACCTGCACTGCCAGGCAGGCTGGGTTTCAGTAAGTCAAAGCGGGCAGACGCCCTGGTCCTGGACTAGGACACACCCCCAGGCCCTCAGGATGGGGAGCTGGGGGCGCACTCCACGTAGAGGGAAGGCAGGGCAGGGCAGGGCAGGCAGGTACGCTGAGGGCCGGGCGGAGGGCCTGAAAGCTGAGGCAGTTGGACTTGATTCTTTTAGCTCCAGTGTGAGCAGAGCAGATGCCAGGCACAGGGAGAAGGGCAGAGTGTGGAGTATCAGCTAAGAATGTCTAACTCAAATGCCACATGCTCTCCTGTCCCGCCCAGCGAGCCCACACCCGCCCTGTCCTTTCTGTAGCGTGCTGGCAGCCTAGCACCACATTGCCGGATTCCCTGATTTACCTTTCTCCACACAGTGAGGCGGTGTCCATGCCTGCAGTTTTATCCTCGGGGATGGGGAGGTGTGTGGAGCCTGTGATATGCAAATGAGCATCTTGAACCGCAGGGGGTCTCAGCAGGGGGTGAGGGCAGCTGTTCTGCATGGCGTTATTCTTTGAAATGCCCTCCATGCGGAAGGAGAAAAGCCCATCTGGTAGAAGACTCTGCCTTGGGTGAAGTGACACCAGCCCCTCCCGGAGCCTGGCACACTGTCAGTGTAGTTGAGCTGTAAGCAGATGGCAGCTGGGGTCCTGGAAGGGATCCTGGGAGGGAGTGTGATGAGACCACAGACAGACATGCTGGGCGACTTTGAGAAGTCGCCTTTCCTCTCTGGATCCCTGTTTTCCTGTTGGTAGAACAAAGGCAATGTAGGAGGAAACAAGTAGGCATCCTTCCAGGTCTAAGAAAACTCTCTTCTATGATTCCTTGCCTATAAGTGTGTCCTTTCTGTGGGGAGCTCTCATCTGCCCCAACATGCTCTCTGCAGGCAGGGTATCTTAGATGTGGGGAGCTTGATCAGGGTCAAGGCTGTCTTCCCTTGTCTTCTTCTCCCAGCTCCTGTGGTCATCACTCCACCCCGGAGTGTTCACAATGTCACCGGGGCACAGGCGTCCCTGTCCTGTGAGGTGAGAGCTGTGCCTGCCCCAGTTGTCACATGGAGGAAGGTATTTATATCCAAGAACTTCTCTGTGTGTGTGTGTTTCGGGGGGTGGGGTGTATAAATGATTTTTAAGGGTGTGTGTGTGTTTATATGTGAATTGGAGGATTAAAAAAAAACTTATGTTCCACTCCTCTGCCTCCAGATTTATGCCTCAAAACTTTTACCCCAGAGAAGGGGTGTTGCCATTTGCTCCCTCTGCCACTTAGCTGTCCAGGAAGTTCTGCTGTTTATCTAGCCTAGGTCAGCTGGGATGAAGTTAGAGCTTCCTTCACTGGATCTGGGTTTTAGAAAGACTTGGCTGGTGGCAAATGACCCAATCCTATTCCAAAACTAGATCTTTCTGCAGTTCAGTTTTTGAGAGACTGGCATATGTTGTCTCCTTATCTCAACAGCCCTGAGAAAGGCAATGAGATTCTGATAGTGGTGGTGTCTACATCTTCGCTGTCCAGCAGGGGGCACTGTCTGTACATACGTTCAGGCTTAGGAAGAAACTGGCATTTAATAGGAATAAGAGATACTAGGGTCAGCCTTCAAGTCAGCAGGAGGGTGAAGACAACGAGGGTGTCTGTGGGGTGGTCCTTATCCAGAAATGCTTTTTCTAAATCACTCCTGGTTTTTCTGTCCTCTGTAGGTCACACGGTCTCCTGAGGGCACCCAGGTGCTGAAGGACCTGCCTGGGGACCACATCAATATAGCTGTCCAGGTGCAAGGGGGCCCTTCTGACCACGCAGCCACGGCCTGGGTTTTGGTGAGTATCTCATTTGTTTAGGATTATTGGCTATTATTGACTGGCCCTTATAAAGCACCTTTTATATTTCTATAACATGTTACACCTTTCAAATACTCTGATCCATTTCTCCTTGGACGCTACAGTAACTGAGAGGAAAGTAGGCAGGTAGTATAACCCCTGAGAGCAGAAGTGATCTTCAGAGGTAGGCAGAATTATGGCCCCGGAAAGATGTCTATGTGCTAATCCTTGGAACTGGTGGATATGGTATGTTGTGTGGCAAGAGGGGAATAAGGATGGAATTAAAGTTGTTAATCAGCTGACTTTAATAAAGTTATCCTGGGTTATCTGGGTGGACCCGATATAATCACAGGAGTCCTTTAAATGTGGAAGAGGGAGGCAGGAGAGACAGCCAGAGAGATGGCAGTGTCAGAAGACATGAACTACTGTTGCTGGCTTTGAAGATGCAAGAGGGAGCCACAGGCCAAGGACTGCAGGCAGCCTCTAGAATGCTTCTCTTAGGGCTTCTAGAAAGAAGGCAACCCTGAGGATACCTTGGGTTTAGCCCACTGAGACCCATTTGGACTTCTGACCTCAAGAACTGTAGATAATAAATTTGTGTTGTCTTAAGCCATTAAACGTGTGGTCATTTGCAACAGCAGCCATAGGAAGCTAATACACTTGCCTGAGACCACATGGCTGATAAAGACGGAAGATGGCAGATTCACACCCTCCTCCAGGGCTCTTCTATGCCACGTGCGGCAGTTTGGCTGAGAAGAGGGAACGCCCTGTGTTTAAAAGGGCGATGGAGTGACGAGATGGGGGCCCAAGTGGGGCTAGTTACCCTACCTCTCAGAGCTTCAGCGTCCACAACCATAAAAAGAGGGCCTTGGACTGGACCATGTCCAGTGACCCTAACAGTCTGTGACTTACCTGTGAGTCTCCTGTAATGTGAGGGTAACGATGCTCCGCCTTCAGCCACCATGGGACCAAAATGAGATAGGGTGCACATACCCTCTCCAGTCTGTAGTGACTCACAGTGGAGAGAAGCTGTTATGACGAGAGAAAGCAAGAAAGGAGGGAGCTACCGTGGATCTCCTCTGCAGGGGCGTGAGATGGGCCCTTGAGGGTGTCCTCCTCATTCCACCCCCATCTCGGCCAGCGTGGGCAACTTCTCCACCCAGCACAGAGACTCAGAATGCAGTTGGGTCCATGGCTTTTTCACATCAAGCATATTCCCCTCCTTTTATTACAAGGAGAGGTGGGGAAAGGTTGTCTCTGGTGTTATTTTGTAAAGGCTGCGTCCGTTGGGAGCATTTGAGGGCTATTCCGTGGTCAGTAGAGTTTTGTTCTTTTAGTTTGCAGTATTTTCCTTGGAATCTATACCTATCACCTTCAATAAAAGGACCAGGTAGCTCACAGTAAAAGGCAGAAATGCAGAGGAAACATTAAAATGAGAGCCAGGATAGAGAGGGTACTGAGAAGGAAGTTTAGCTCTTTCTCGGCAGCCGAGGCAAGAAGAGAAATAGAGGGTGAGCTCTGTCTTATTTTGAAAAGGAGTAAGTGTTCAGAATCATTAAGAACTAAATAAGTAATTTTGCTATGCCATATATGACTGTACAAACTTGCCTGTTTAACTTCTAGATCAACCCTCTGAGGAAGGAAGACGAGGGGGTGTACCAGTGCCATTCAGCCAACGCGGTTGGGGAGGCCCAGTCGCACGGCACAGTCACCGTGGTGGATCGGAGCCAGTACAGAGCCGCCCGCTTCCCAGGTCCAGATGGCCACATGTGAGGGGGTAATGCGCATGTTCCAAGTCATCTGCAGTATTTGTACACCTGTGTCACGGGAGATTGAGATGAGTCATAAGATGCATAATAAATAAGAAGAAAAATACATGAATCAAGGAAACCAGAGAAATGCAAACCAAGAGTAGGAACATATTACAAAATTGGCAGGTAGACTCTGTGGTATGTTCTACACACGTATCACACTGGGCTTCCCACTAGGATGCAAAGTCAAGAGCTGTGAGTGTTATGGGTGTCCGTCAGGTGAAAAAGACCACCTATTTTTTTCTATTTCTCCAAGTCCGCCCAGTGAGGGTGCTAAGAGAGCAGATGTGGTCACTATGACAGCACCCAGGTGAAAACATGCCCGCAAAGAAGACAGTCTGAGCTTCATGGGTCTATTCCCAGGTTCTTCCTTGTCTGTAGCTCTGCAAGTAGTTAGAGCTTCTAGAAACAGGGAGGAAAATGTAAGGTGTAAAATTGTCAAATAGGAATGCAGTGAGGAGAGGCTCTTAAAGTTGCCCTCCTGATACTTAACTTTTAGTTTTTTATATATGTGTATAGTTATATATATGTATCAAAAAGTCAAGTATCGAGACTTTTTGTCCTGTACACTTGTATGTATACTTCTGTATGTACATATGTGTGTGTGTGTATGTTTCATGTTTTAAATATATGTATAATTTATAAGTACGTATATTTATATTTTAAAAACAGAAATGATACCAGGGTATGAATATAGTCTACTATAAATGAGTTTTCAAAGGGGTCACAAAGAACCATGGAATTTTAATACCATTGCCACAGCCCAGTCCGTGAGTTCCCTCTACAACATGCAGAATTGGCCGGCTATTGCTTGCATACCTCCAGGGACACAGAGCTCACTACCACCAAACAACCATCTGTGGATCTTTCCAATAGTTGAAAGTTTTTCCGCACATTAAGCTGGAATCTGCCTCCCTGAAATGCCCATCCATTGGCCTTACATGTATTTCCTAGACCCCCACAGGCACCTCTGCTCCCACCGGCACCTCTCCTGGTTGGGGAGAGATTTAAAGTTAGGGGCATTTCCCCCACCTTCCATCTAACACATAGTTGACTATGACAGAGCAGGCTTTTTTTCTCTAATTCTTTTCCCTCTTTTCTTCTAGGGTCTTAGAAACATTGATTACAGGATGATGGAAAAGTCAAGTCATGGATCTTGTTTGCTTTGTGAAGAATTGGGAGAATTGTGTTTGTAGATAACCGCTTTCGTATGTTTTTAAAAATTAGATGCAAACTAGATTCGTATGCAGATGTAGTTTTTAGCAGGGCAAACATTGGGAAAACAGACTGCATGTAGCCTTTTTATACTTCTGAAATGAATAGCTCTGTGAGAATTCTTTTTATAACTTCTCCCTCCAAGGGAAGGTCACCTTAGGTATATTTGTAATTCTAAAGGGCTGGACCGGGGTGTGTGTCAGCTGTGACTCTTTACCTCATTTGTCTAGGGCTGATTAGTGACTTAGTATGTGTTGTAGGAAGAGGGGGGAGGGTCCTGCTGTCCTCTGCCTGACCTCTCTAACTTTGCTGTGTGAACTGGGTAGGTCCCTCCCTCTCTGAGCCTTGTTCTCTTCAGCTGTGAATGTGGTATTTGGACTGGATGTTACCCATGTCCCTTCAAACACTGCCATCCTGGAGTAAGACGGTCCTACAGAAAAAATATGGGAAGTGTAGTCTTAGCATTCTTTTAAAAATAATATTCCCTCAAAAACAAATGCCATTGCTTCATATGAAGGTGTGGATAGCTGTTATTCCTGCTGCTTTCCCATTATAAAGAGACTCAGTCCTAGATGGAACACTTAGCCAGGCTCGGGGGCCCCTCGGCTGGGCATCTGGGGACCAAGATGTCCACTTATTAACACGCCCAGCATTCTCTAACCAAGCTGGCAGTGGAGACCTGGCTTTTGGACATCAACTTGTAAAAATGGGGTTAACTGCTCTCTCTGGGCTGTGGAATTAGAGTGTAGTAGAATACATTTTACTTAGAGATGTTTTGACCTTAACCAGAAATAAAGCTTTCTTTCTTTTCTTTTAATCAAGAAAGAAAAAAGGAGAATATTTAATATCTGGCCTAAAAAAATAGACCCCCTAGGGGACTAAAATTTTTTAAAATCAGAATTGGGATCTCACATATGGATAGTTGTTAAATTTCAAGAAACACTGTCCTGTCTGTGGTCACTTCCCATCTCTGGGACGGCAGGCAGGATAAGCATTAATGTCCCTCCCCCTTTACAGATGAAGAAGACCAGGCTCCGAGAGTAAAGCGCTTGCCTGAGGCCTGAAAGCCTCTGAGAAGGACAGGAGCTGAGGGCATCTGGTCCTCTTTGGCACCCTTTCCACTCCATGGTGCTGCTTCTCAGAAAAATCTCGTAACTATGGAAAGGAAGATGCTGCCATTTCCACAGGTTTCAGGGATTCTCCTTAAGGTCCATCTCAACGTTTAAAGCAACACTCTCAAGCCACTCACACTGGGCGTTGCATTTTGGAGTCCTTTCTGGAATTGCATTTTCTGCCTTTAAGCCTGACTGTTCCACATCTGAAATGCTGGGGTGGCATCACCCTGACGTACATAGCAGGAGGGTGACCCAGGAATCCAGAAACATGAGGTCCATTTGGGAATTCACCCCTGTCTTTCTGGGTGACCCTGAGAAAGTCCCCTTCACTTTCTGGACCTCAGTTCCTCATTTGAATAAGGGAACGAAACTAGATGGGTGGTTTTCAAACTTTAAAAACATTGGAACCCCTTCTTCAAATAAAGTCAAAATTGAACCTGATCAAAAGGGAAGCTGTCCTTGTCTGTTGGAGGTTGGGCCTTCCAGGGGATCTGCTCACGTCCCCTCCCTACTAGGCTCCCCCAAACCCCACGGCAGTGATTTCCGTATCCAAGTCTGCAGTTAACTCCTCTGTGATTTGAGTGGTTGGGAGATGGCTTGGGAAGAGACTTAGTGAAACCATGTCAGAGGAATAGGGAACTGTAGAGAAGGTAGTAGAACAACATCATGCATCTGCTAATAAGCACATTCAGCAAAATCAGTTGAATCACCTCACATTTGCCCAGTCAAATCTGGAGAGCTGGATGTGGACCCAAAGAGCAGGTAGATGGAGCCCCGGGGTGACAGGGCTGAGCATCAAGCCCGCAGGAGGCTGGGTGTAGCCTCGTAATGATGTACAAAAAATAATCATAATAAATGTTACACTGTCTGAAGTTTTCACCAAAACCAAAAAGGCAGGTTAGCATGATTGTTCCAACCTAATGACTTTTCAACTGCGAGAGCCCCAAGACCTCTCAGAGGCTAAGCGAATGCGTGCTGCGGCTTTTATCATTTGGAAACATGATGCCCTCAGAGCCTATGTTTTCTACCCTATTTTCATAGATGTGATGATGTCACAGGACCCCTGCACTCTGAAAATAAATGTTTTTAGGGACAGTCTTTGTGGTCTCTGTCCTTGGAACGCTGCTGTAGGTGGGCCCAGGCACCACTGATACTTCTCCATCATCCCTTATGCATCTTTCCCTTCTTTCGCTTGCCCACATCAACTACTGTCATCCGAATTGTCCTTACCTCTCACACCTGAGCTGTGGTTACTGTCGTACCTGGTCACCCTGCTTGCAATTTTTAACCAGCCCTAACTAATCATCTACTGCCAGCCTGATCCTTCTAACTCCCTCTGAACTGGTGTCTCCCACTGTATAAGCATTCTACTATTTAATCCATTCACTTAGATCTGCCCTCTGTTACCCCACATGCACACGGAACAGCATTCTCCAGAGGCCAGAGGGTGCAGACACTGGCAATATGAAGGTATGTGGGACCTGGGCCCTGCACTCAGGTGAGACTTGAGTGGGGATGAGTGGGACAAGGTTGCCATCCTGCCACACAGCACAAGGTGTCTGCTTTGTGATCAGAGTAGGGGGAGATCAAGGAAGACTTCCTGGAAGAGGAGAGCCATCTGAGCTGGGGATTGAAGTGATGTGGGAGATTCCAGGCTAGGGAAGTAGCACGTAAAAGGAGCAGGGGTGGAGAAGTGCAGTGTAGTTTGTGCATGGGGAGTAGTGACCAGTTGTGGCTGAGAGCTCTAGTGGCAGGTAATGGGGTAGGTTTTGGCCACACCCCTAACTGCCACCAGAAGAGGTTGGACTTGATGCTATAAGAGGTGGGGCTGAATCTCAGTCTTCTGTTGTCAACTGGGTTATAACTAGGCTTGAGGAAGATAATCCAAAAGCTAGTGTTCAATCCCAAAGGTATCCACTTTCCACCTTAAACAAGAAAGGGTAGTTTTTAGTTAAAATGGATTTTTTTCTTCAAGTTTTAGGGTGAAATTAATCCCATGTCTTTAAAAAACATTGCCCTCTCCCTTCCTCCAGAGGTGGATGATGCAGGAAAGATTAATAAGAACGAGCAAACCAGCTGACAGTGAACAGTCTCCCATAATAAATTTCCTCATCCCCAGCCTTCGCCAGAGCCTCTTGAACATTAAATCAGAGAATGATTATTATGTGATATTTTAATTAATTAAGGGAAACTAAAGTGCCCTGGTGTCTGCAGCTGAATAATGAATTCAGAGCGTAGGGAGCCCATCATCCAGGGCAGAAGTGGCTACACTTGCCCACTCTCAGCTCAAGCCCACACCTCTCTCCTGGAGCCTGAACTTTTTTACAGTCATGACGGCCTCTGAGTTCAGCATTGACTGCACCTGTGTCTCCTTTCACTATGGCTGTCTCTTTGTTATACTAAATCTCCCCCATGATATTAGGGAGTGGTTGGATGTCAGGGGAAGAGTAAAAATCATTAATGCTAGGGGATGGGAGGCAGGGAGCAGAAGCTTTTCTCATCTCCATTGGTAAATCCACCCACCACACGCATCTACAGAGCACCTACTAGGCGCCAGGCACTGCTTGGTGCTGAGGGATCTACTGTTGCTCACAGCCCCCGGAGTAGCAGCCCTGGTGCAGAGAGCTGGACCTGTCTCTGCTACTGAAGGTGCTGCAGTCATCCCTGGGATAGAGTAGGCATTAGATTTGGAGTTGAAAGACCCGGAACCAAGGTCAAACCCTGCCATGGTCTGTGGGTCTGGGGCACTTGCCTCTACTCTAGAAGCCTTCATTTCCCCATCAGTCCAGGCAGGTCAGCATCACTGCCCTGTCCTGCCCTGAGGATCCCATGCATGAACGGACATGCACCGTCCACTCTCTAGGGGATACTGAGGGCTGTGAGCTGAGTGGCAAGGACACAGGGAGTCAGATCAGACATGCTGGGGGTCTGCGGGAAACACAGCCTAGTGTGACAGAAAATCAGACCTGTGATAACGAACAAGAGCTTCCACAAGGCAAGACTAAAGGAAGGGTGGGTGCTATAAGCTCAAAGGGGCCAGAGATGACTTGATTGAGATGGTCAGAGAAAGCATCCTGGAGGAGGTAGGTCCCCAACAAGGCTCCAAGACAATGGGCTGAATTTGGAGAGGAAAGAAGGAAGGAGAAAGAAACAGCATTGAGTAAGGCTGGAAGGTAGGAGTGAACAGCCCACAAGAGGATTAAGCTTTAAAAGCATCTTTGTAAGACACACTCTAACCATTGTGCACAACTGCAAAGAGGTGCTTCTGTGTGCCAGAGCGAGCTGTCCTCCAAAACTTGAGGACAACATGGAAGTGTCCCCATAACTACGTTTCCGCTTCCTTCTGCACCTCAGTTGGGTCAGATGGTTTTTGCCAACGGCTGGGCATGGAAGCAGTGCATTCCACGACAATGCCAGGGCCTTAAGAAGTAGCTGTGCCTTTTCTGTGCTTTCTTCCCCATCTAACAGGGGACATGAGGTCTCTAAGGCCCCATGCAGCAGGTTTTCACCTGGGCCTGTGAACTCATAGGAATTCTACAGATGACTGCATGGGGTCTATGAGCCCCTTGAAAGTGTGCCAGATTTTGTGTGGATGTGCATGTGTGTATTTATTTCTGGTGAAAAAAATTAGCTTTCACTAGCGTCTCAAAGGAATACGTAACATAAAAATGGTCAAGAAGTACTGTAGACAGTGGAGCCACAAGATGGAAGGAACCTGTGTTTCTGAATCTCCACATGGAGGACAAGTGCTGATTAACCACACCTGCATTAGATTATTATCTAATAAGCAAGAAATAAGGCACTGTTGTGTTGAACCCTGAAAACTTGGGGGTTTATTTGTTGTGGCACCTAATGTTACCCTGATACATGTGGGAAGAGCATTTGGTTGGGGGCAAGAGACCTGTAATCCAGGCCACGCTCTGACCCCACTGAGTTCCTTGGCCTTGGACGGTCACTCGGTCCACTCTAGTTAAGTGAATGGGGAGGCTAGGGGCTCTCAAAGGCCCTCACAATGTGCCTTCCTGCTTTCCTTCCAAGGTCTTCCAATCTAGGATTAATGTACAGATCACTGGGGCTTGGGGGGATTAAGTGGTGCTCTCAACACACAGCAGTCTGGCTTCTGCCCCCACCCATTCACACAACCTGCCCTTACCAAGGTCTCCAGGGAGCCCCATGGCTTCAGCCTCCTCTTACTTGATCTCTTGGAAACATTTGATTCCACCCGTGGCTCCCTCCCGTTCCCACCTTCCTTGGCTTCTTGACTCCTCTCTCCCAGGTTCTCCTGCTTTTCCTTAGTGCCTTTCACAGAATTCTCATCCTCCACCTGCCCCTTGATGTCAGCATCATCAAGATCAAGCTATCCTTGCCCTCCCTGCAATCTGCTGAAAACACAGCAGACCCAGTGATCCTTTTAAAACATGTCAGATCACATTACAGCCCTGTTCCCCTTCTGGTTCCTTCACGGTTCAGAGTAAAGGCCCCAGTCGGCACAGTGGCCTTCAAAGCTCTCACCATCTGCCCCTCCCCCAGCCCTGCCTTTGCTCTGTCCTTGTCTCTCCCCACTGCTTACTCCATCCAGCTCCCTGGACACCTCAGGTGTGCTTCAGCCTCCAGACCTTTGCACCTGCCATTTCCACACCTCTTTCAGTCCTTTGTCATCTCTTCAGTGAGACCTTTGTTAAGTGATGGACCTCTTCAGATGGTCTATCACTTATTGAAGATAACAGTTCCTACCCCACCCCACCCATATTCCCTATTCCCCTTCCCAGCAGGACCTTTCTCCCTAATAACCTTAACCATCTGACAGACTAAATATTTCATTTATTTTGCTTATGGTCAGCCTCCCCCTGATGGGGAGGATGTGCAGGACTTTAGTTCCCTGCTGTATCGTCAGCACCAACAGTACTGCCCAGCACATAGCCAGCACTCAATGAAGTGTGCTGAATAAACAAATAAATAAACTCACTACCTTGTCCCCAGACCTGCTCCTCCAGCTAGGCTCCCTTTCCCAGTGGGGGCACAATCACCCACTTTGTTATCCCAGCAAGGAATTCAGGGTCACCCTAACTTTCACTCTCCTCTTGCAAGCAGTCTGTCACCACACCCCAAAGCCCACCTCTTGGCTCTCAGGATCTCCCACCCACCCTCACACCTGGTTCAGGTCAGCATCCCTGGCATAGGCAGCAGTGTCCCGAGTGGGCTCCCACACCAAGCTGACCCCTCAACCTATCCTGCACATTGAAGCAGAGCCAGCTTTAGGAACCAAATATGACCCAATCACTTTCCCTTGAAACCCTCGTGGCTGGACAACACGCGGCCTTCCTCGCAGGGGTAAGGGCCCTTCCCCATCCAGTCCCTGCCTCCTCCCAGGTCTCTCCCTTCCTCACACCATTCCTTGCACCCTCCGTGCTCTCTCACAGACTCCATGCCCTTTCCTCTCCCAGGAATACCCTTCCTGCATCCCTGTGCCAGATTACCTCCTTTTCATGCTGCGGAGTCCCATGCTCCTGCCATTGGGCCTTTCCCTTGGGCTGAGCTGGGTGCAGAAGGCAGTCAGAAGACCTGAATTTGAGTCCTGGCTCCACTTACTAGCTGAACATGGCTGGGCTTCCATGTTTATTTATCAAGCATGGAATGATAATAATAAGTGCCTTGAGGGTAATCAGAAGCATTAAATGATATAACAAACATTATTGTAGGTGCTTTACAAACATTGTGGGTGCTTAATATTATTTCTTTCTGTGAGCTTACAGTCTCTGTACTTCTACTTATCACAGCTTATCACTTTTCACTAAAACTTATCACTTTTCACCTTGGTCTGTAATTATCCCCCTGCCAGACCATGAGCCCCTGCAGGGCAGGGACGGCCTCATTCAATTCTGTTTCCCTACAACTTGCCTAGAGCCAGCACCTTAGCCTTCAAATTAATTAACAAAGTGGCCACTAGAGGGCAGCCTCACACCCAGAATACAGCCAACTCAAACTGAGGTTCTTAAGTGGCCTGGCATCTGGGTGATGGAGCAGCAGCCTGACCGCTCCAGCAAAGGGGTTGGGTGTTTGGGATTGTTTGGCATTGCTGTGGGCTCTCCTTCGGGGTTTGATTATATGTGCTCTTAGTTTGCCTCCCCCTCCCCTGTCCCCTGGACCCAATTCCAAAGTGCGTGTTGCTCAGAAGGGGGATCCCCCATACCAACAAGCAATTCTCAGACACAAGCAGGTAGTAGAACTCAACTCAATTCTGACACTACCCAGAGAAAGATAGATAGATACCCAAATCCCATTTAGGGGTCAGTCTTACTAGACTGTTGTCGTCCGTCCGTCCGTCGTCGTCGTCGCTCCACGCCCCCCTTCAGATGCCAGCCACAAGTCCACCTGTGCTTCTGATGGACAAGGCCAAAAAGTCACTTCATTAACATAACGAAAAACACCTTTATCACTCTCATCACTTAGGAAATTCCAAGGGTTTTAGGAGCTGTGCCAGAAATGCATGAAGACCAAATATATATGTCTCATTATAAATCACAGTATCACACCTTCCTCCTGGCCCATAGTGTAGGCACATGGGAAAATTACTCCAAATGAGCTGCATACAAAACCTCTCAGCTTCTCTTTCCTCCTCTGAAAAAAAGGGTAACCCCACTGCCTACTTGATAGGATTATTGTGAGACTTCAAAGGCATGTAAGGCATAGAGACTGACAAACTAAGTGCTTGGTATAAGTTTGTTGAATGGGTGGATGCCCCGGAATTGCAACGTCTATGACCAAGTGAAGTCATCATGCAGGCAGTGTCCACACTCAGTAATGATGCCCGGTTCAGCCTCCCTGCTCACACTTCCCCGCACTCAGAGCAATGGTGATGAGAACAGAGGGATTTTGGGGGCTGAGCTGATTGGGAATCTGACCTATTTGACTCCTCAGTCTCAGAATCTTAGGGACTGAAATGAGGGACCGAGAAGATTATCCTTTTCCAGTCCCACCCCATACTGGGACACCCTCTACAAAACTCCTCTTCGGTTTAGAATTTTTTTTTTAAATTTACTTATTTTTTACTTATTTACTTTTGGCTGTGTTGGGTCTTGGTTGCTGTGCGCGGGCTTTCTCTAGTTGTGGCGAGCAGGGGCTACTCTTCATTGCGGCGCACAGGCTTCTCATTGCGGTGGCTTCTCTTGTTGTGGAGCACAGGCTCTAGGCATGCGGACTTCAGTAGTTGTGGCACACGGGCTCAGTAGTTGTGGCTCGTGGGCTCAGTAGTTGCAGCACGCAGGCCCTAGAGCACAGGCTCAGTAGTTGTGGCACACGGGCTCAGCAGTTGTGGCTCGTGGGCTCTAGAGCGTAGGCTCAGTAGCTGTGGCGCACGGGCTTTGTTGCTCCACAGCATGTGGGATCTTCCCGGACCAGGGCTTGAACCCATGTCCCTTGCACGGGCAGGCGGATTCTTAACCACCGCACCACCAGGGAAGTCCGGTTTAGAAGTATTGAGAAGCAAATGAGGAATGAATTTGTTAAAACATTGAGATGTTGGAAAGTGCCAATAGCCTCCAAGAAAACTAGGTAAAATGTGCACTTTGCGGGGCAGTCAGGGTCACCCCAGCCTTAGACAAATGGTGTAGAAAGGAGATCCTAGGAAGGCGAGATGAAGGGACCAAACAGACCCTGAGTCCTCAGGAAGCAGTTTCAGGCCAACTCCAAGGTAAGATACTGAACAAAATCGTTTCAATGCCTAGGTGAGATAATGGGGTGTTAAAGAGATGACGGGGTGGGCGGGTGCATTCACAAGGCTGAGTGGACCTAAAAGTATGGTGAGTCATGAGCAGCATGGCCTAGAAAGATGGAAGACAAGGAGAGAGAGGATCAGCATTCTGCTTCTGAATCGGGGTCTGGCTGACCTGGTCTCACTCCCATCAGCTGCGGAATGGAGTTGTGAGACTAACAACAAACAAACTGAACTCTCAGGTTTGAAATTCCCCAAACCCTAGCGTGTCAGGATGGCCCTGACGCTGAGCTTGGCTTGAGGGCTGGTGTGTATTGGTGAGGGTTGGAGGGACAATGCCAGCAGAAGCCTTGAAATGAGAGCTGAAATAAACTGGTTTTAGGCAGGACCCAGCACTTTTCTCCGTGGGTCTTAAAGTTGCACATTGTCACTCAGGTGAGAGAAAACAAAATCAAAACTAGAAATATTATGGAGGGGACTTCTGACTATCGGGGTCCCTTCCATCCCCAACACTCTGTAAAATGTTCAGCAGCAAAAGAATATTGATACAAAATTGATTTGCAAACAGAATGTGTGAGTTTAATTTTTAACTGAAATTAATTCACATATAAAATTCACCCTTTTAAAGTATGTAATTCAGCGCGTTTTGGTATATTCACAAAGTTGTACAACCATCAACACTAACTCCAGAACATTTCAAAACCTCCCCAAAAGAAATCCTATAGCCATTAGCAGCTATTCCCCATTCCCTCCTCCCCCAGCCCCTGGCAACCACTAGTATACTTTCTGTCTCTATGGACTCTGGATATTTCATATAAGTGGAATCATACAATATGTGGCCTTGTACGTCTGGTTTCTTTCACTTAGCATAATGCTTTCAAGGTTCACCCACGTTGTAGCATGTGTCAGTACTTCTTTCCTTTTTAAGGCTGAACAGTATAAGAAATATTCCATAGAAACATTTTGTTTATCCACTCATTAGTTGATGGACATTAGAGCTATTTGAGCTTATTTTATTTATTTTATTTATTTTTTATTAATTTATTTATTTATGGCTGTGTTGGGTCTTCGTTTCTGTGCGAGGGCTTTCTCTAGTTGCGGTGAGCAGAGGCCACTCTTCATCGCGGTGCGCGGGCCTCTCACTATTGCGGCCTCTCTTGTTGCGGAGCACAGGCTCCAGACGCGCAGGCTCAGTAGTTGTGGTACATGGGCTAAGTTGCTCCGCAGCATGTGGGATCTTCCCAGACCAGGGCTCGAACCCGTGTCCCCTGCATCGGCAGGCAGACTCTCAACCACAGCGGCACCAGGGAAGCCCCTGTTTGAGCTTATTTTAAGTGAATGGTTATATAAATGCATTTTCTGTCTACCCCTTCCCTCAAATTAAGGACAATCAGTAGCAAAATGAAGCAATGCAAGCAAGCAAACGAGTCAGCAACTGGTACTTAGAAAAAGAAAAGCAGCCCTGATTTTTAGGGTACGTCACTGAAGAAGGGGGCCAAGATTATGGGGTCTAGCTTAAAACTCCTAATGCCTTCCAATCCCATGTCTGAGATGAGTCTACCCACTAAGACATCAGTTAATCCACCGGGAAGTCCTTGGATCAGTAAGAAGAACTGAGAGCCATGGTCTGGATCAGTGTTTCTTACTCTGTCTTTCCGAGACTCCTAAGGTTTCATGGAAGTAACACAGGGCCACCAAGGGGGCTGGAGTGCAGGTGGACAGGGCTCTGAGCCCAGCCCCCAGCCCTGCTTTAACTAGAGCAGCTCTCATTTTAATTGCTTGATTTGTTGAGGTTCCTCTAAGTATTCATCTGGAACAAATAAAGGGGGTCCGTGGCTAAAAAACTGTTTGGCAACCACTGGTAGGTGGTTTTGGCATCCTGGGACTAGAGTTGGCGCTCCCTGGCAGCCGTTCTTACGAGTTCTTCTGAGGAACCTTGATGGTGACTGTCTTCACCTCTGTGTAGGCCTTAAGCCCATCCTCCCCCAGCTCCCTCCCATTGCCAGATTCCTTAAAGCCTCCAAATGGCGTGTGGCAGGTGACAACGTTGTAGGTGTTTACCCACACCGTCCCAGCTTGGAGCGCCTGTGTGAAGTACATGGCTTTGTCCAGGTCCCGGGTGAACACAGCAGCAGCCAAGCCGTACCTGGTGCTGTTGGCCCTCTCCACCACCTCCTCCACCTTCCTGAACTTGAACAGAGGCTGCACAGGCCCGAAGATCTCTTCCTTGGCAATCCTCATGTCATCCTGCACACCACCAAAGACCGTGGGCTTGATGAAGAAGCCTCGCTCTCCAAAACGCTCCCCACCGCACAGAAGTTTTGCCCCCTCCTTCTGGCCAAGCTGGATGTAGCCCAGGATTCGTTCAAACTGTTCCTTGTCCACCTGGGGCCCCTGCTGGGTGTCCAGCTCAAAGGGGTTCCCAACTTTCCTCTGCTTAGCTTTTTCCACAGTTCGCTCGAGAAACTCATCATAGATGGATTCTTCAACGAAGGTCCGGGAACCGGCACAGCAGCACTGACCCATGTTGAAGAACAGGGCTTCGTGGCACTGCTCCACGGCGTGGTCCATGTCGGCATCGGCCAACACAATGCTCGGGCTCTTCCCACCCAGCTCCAGGGTGACTCTCTTGAGGTTGGACTCGCCGGCCGCCTTCTGGATCAGGTGGCCCACCTCGGTGGAGCCAGTGAAGGCAACTTTGTCGATATCCATGTGATGGGCAATGGCAACTTTCCTCAGCCCCAGGACTCTCTCTCCCCCATACTGTGCTCTATCTTCCCCCATCTGACATACCAAATAGTATATGTACATGCTTCTGTGTTTATTGTCTGCCTCTCCCCAACAAAATGGGCTCCATGAAGGCAGGGACTTTTTTTCCTGTTTCATTCATTGCTATGTCCCTGATACCCAGAATTACGTTGGCTACAGAGTAGCTGCTCAGTGGGTAGTTATTAAATGACAGACAGAGGAAACATCAAAGTATCCACAAAGGCTGTTTACTAAGGCTGTTTAACTGACCTACGGTAGAGTAAAACCCCAAGGGACTCAGAGCCAGAGTTGTTGAATGCTGAATGGGGTCGTGCATATGAAAAGCCTGGCACGCCCACCCAGGTCATCGGAGCTGGCGGCACCCTCAGAAACCAGCCCAGCCCAGTCCCCCCGGGGGACTGGCTTCAGCTTTCCCAGGAGTGCAGTGAGTCCGGCAGCTGGAAAGAAGGCTCTGTTTACTCTTGCCTACAACTCTGAAAACAGTGTAGACTTTATTAAAACAACTATAACATTTAAACAGTCTATATAATTTATTCAATGTAATTTAAATGGTATATACATTTCCTAGATTCATTAAAGCAGTTACTCTCCAGCTAGGACATCAATCCCTCCACTCCTGCTGTCTCTCTTGAGCCTTACCCCACCAGCCCCCAAAAGGAATTGCACCTGCCCTACCCCAGCACACACACCCTCTGCCACTGGGGAGGGAAAGGAGCAGAGAACTCATCCAGGAAAACAAGACCCCAGCCAGGTCCCTGGCCCCACGCAAATCAGTGCTGCCCAGGAAGCCATCCCTTGGGAAGAAGCTGAGCCAGCAGAACTGTCAGGGGTGCACACAGGTCCACTCTGCTCAGGACTCTGCCCCATGCTGGGACAGAAGCAGCCTTGGGTCCAACAGGCCTGGGTCTGAGGAAAGAGGGGTCCCAGGGGAGGTCAGGATAAGGGGGATGCGGGGTCACTAATCCATGGGGTGGTGGTGCAAGGGTTCAAATGGCAGGAGGGGTGGTCACAGACCAAGGCTGGCAAGCCTGCTTTCATGCCCAGCCAAGGCTGTTTCTACTCTAGAGCCTACGTGGGGTGTGCATTGGGCCTCCACCTGCATATGGGAAGAGGACTGCTCAAAGCACACCATGCTTTGCAGCTTCTAGGCCACCTTCTCAGTAGTTAACTCACCGAGGCTTCCAGCAGCCCTGATGACCCTCATTGTGGAAGAAAGCTGGGGATCAGAGAGGTTCTGGGACTCACTGAGGACACACAGCAATTAAGAATAGGAGCCTCAGGCTGGATTCCCACAGCCCTAGCTTTGTGTTTCTTCCGTACTACGGACAATTTCTTACAGTTCCCACTATTAGCGCCCAATGTGCCAAGGACCGGACCTTCTGGGTCATCGAGGACCGGGTGGCTCCCACCTTACCCTTTCTGCGGGGAGGGAGTGCGTGTCCTGGCCTCTCGGCTACCAGTCAGGGGCCCAGTAGGCCCGGTGGGAGGGAGCGATGAGGCCTAGCTAACCGGGAAGATTTCGAGGGTGTGAGTCCACGGGGCGATAAGGCGCCACCCCGATACCCGGGTGCGTAAGGAGGGGTGGGAAGCGTGAAGAGGTTCCTACAGTGCACGCCTCCGGGGCAGAAAGGCCGGCCCCCACGTGGAGAAGCCGAGACCCAGAGAGGAAGCCTCCACTGCAGGAAGGGGAGCTGCGGCCTGCCCGGGGGGCCGAGTGGGAAGGGCGCCAGTTACCTGCAGCAGGTTGGCGCTCGCGCTCCGGTGCAGGTTCGGATTCTCACAGGTCTAGCCTGGCCTCTAGCTGGGCGCTTGCCGCAGACCCCGCCTCCGCGCAGTGGCGGGGCTCAGCCACCAATGAGGCTCCGCCTGCGCCTGGCGCGCCGCCGACTTCCAGCCCCGCTGCTAAGGCAGTTCCTCCCTCCGGGCGCAGGCGTGTTGGGGCTGCTGGGACTGGGGTGATGGGACTGGGGGCGGGGAGCGCCCCACCTTTCCCACGTCCCAGCGCCCCGTACCCCGCGGGGTATGCCGCAACACGCCAGCGCTCTCCTCTCGCATCGCCGCTCAGAACTGGAGTCCTAAGGCCCGAATGGGTAGGAGTTCACAGGTCACACAGCAATCGGAGACTGGACCCCAATTGTATGCAACACGAGGCGCCTTGTTAGGTTACCATCATTTGAACTTCTCCTTAACCCCTTCTGGGTCTTCCCTCTCTCTCTGTTTTTTCCTTGTTTCACTAATTTGACTGTCTTCCACTCTCTCTGCTCTTTTTCCCAGTTGATTTTATATTTGTGTTTTTAAAAGCTGCATTTTTTTTTTAAAGGACATAAAGAGTATATGTGCAATGTACAAAGCTTGGAAAACACAGAAAAGGATAAAAGAAGAAAACATATTACTTTCAATCCTTTCACCCCAAAGTTGCCATTCATCTTGCTGGTATTTTTTCCTCTGCATTTTTCAAAAATTCTTTTAATAAAAATGAAATCATATGGTGACCTCTATTTTGCTACCTTTTTTTTTTTTTTAACAGCAATTTATTATGACCATTTTCTCATGTCACTAATTAAAAGACAACATCCTCCTCTCCGGGGTGGTGTAAAATTCCATGGTAGGGTGGATTGTTGATGGACATTTAGATTGTCTCCACCTTGTTGTTGCCATAAAGGAAGCTAAATCCAGAACCTGCATCTCTCAGTCACTTCGCTTACACTGCACCCTCCTTCTGGTTGGAGACGTTGGGAAGCTACAAGCTGTTTCGCAGCCTTGTTTGCAGCTAGAGTTCTGGATGTGAACTCAGTGGTGCCAATTAGCAGTACCCCTGTCACATGTGGAAGGTGGAGGGTATTGTCCTGCCCCCTTGGGTCATCACTAGCATGATGGCAGAAACATGAGGATTTTCTGCATCCTTCTCCAGCTTCCTGGGTGTGGGGTGGCCACTGCAACTGCAGCTCCTTGACTCCAGCTACCTGTTCCCTTGCTCTTTGAATCATGGCTGCAGGGGTGTGTCTTGAGCTAGATAGCTCCAGAGGTGGCCTCAGATAGTAACAGCGCTGGTGGGCCACATCCATCTCGTTCTGGGCATCAGTCCTGAAGGTCGAGTCCTCCCTGATTCTCCCTCCCTCTGGCCCTTCCAGCAATTCTGTCAGCACCCAATGTCTGTATTAACTCTTTACCTCTCCACATATTTAGAGTATTCACATTTTCCTGTTGAACCTGACTAATTCACATGATTCTTTCCTTAAGCTACATCTCTATGCAATCTTTTGTTACCATGTCATCCTTAGGATGTTCACAGTCCTTGAGGCAAAATTTAGTTCTTCACTAAAAGCACTACATCTTGTGTCTTGCCACATCTATGTTCATGTTTTCCCAGCAACCATGTGGCCCCTTGCAAAACCCTTTCTGCCTCCCACACAGCACATGACCAGCCTAGCACCCCTTGGGCACTTGGCATGGCACCCCTTGGTAGATTAACTTAAGGATTATTTGGTCAACTATTAACAGGCCTCATTGATAGAGGCAGTGAGTCTATGACAAAGCAAGTATCAGTCAGTCTTCATATGGTCAGACCACTTGGAAAGCTGTGGCAGGTGTGAGAGCCAGCAGCAAACAAGAAGTGACCCCCTTGGGAGAGGCTGCGTCCTGTGAGAAGCAGCTGAAGGAACTGGGCGTATCCATCCCTCAGAGCTCAAGGGACAGGATATCACCCTCCAAATCTCCAAAGGGTAAAAACAGACGTAGTCTGTGGGGCCCTAGAAGACAGAGCCAGACCCATGAGAGGAAGTTAACGGGGTCAGAGGAAGAACTTCATGACAAAGCAGAGCTGGCTAAGGATGGGTGGGAGGGGCTGCCTTGAAAGGCAGTCAGTCCCCCATCACTGGAGGAGTACAAGGAGGGATATAAAACCACTTGGCAAAATCCTATAGAGGAGAATACCAGATAAGGACTGAACTAGACCAGTGGTTCCCAAATGTAGCTGTGCATCAGGATTGCCTGGGGAGCATTAAAAAAAAAAAAAAAAAAAAAAAAAGCAAAACTTTATAATCTCCCTGGGCTTACCTTCAGAGATTCTAAATTATTAGATGTTGGTTGTGATCCAGGAATTTTTTAAGTTCCCCATATGCTTCTGATGCACAACTATATTTGGGAAGCAGCAGCCTAAGTGGTCTTTGGGATTCTATGACTCCATCATGGGTGGTTTTAAGAAAGGGACTTATCAAGTGAATGCTTTGTCTGTATCTAGAGTCCATCCAGAAGACCCACCCTTGACACTTCATAAGCTGTGGCTGGCACCAGAAGGTAGTCCTGTTGCAAGGCATTTGTAAAAGCATCCAAAAATTTTAAAACTTAAAACCTTCCACAGTGCTTGACATTTATGGTTTAGAGAGACGGATGAATGTGCAATGGCTCAGGGTAAAATGCACAGATTATTTCTGCAGAAGGAATGTTTTAGATTCATCTTTTTAATTGGCAAAAAATGATCCAGGCCTCTAGAATGCAAGTTGGGCCTGGAGCCACTGTGAGTATTTGGACTGAAAGGATTGAAGGGGAATAATGAGATAACACAAGCCATAGTCAGGTCATTGTCAGCAAAGAATGTCACCCAGGGATGTGTTTACACTGGCCTGGTGGGGAAAGAGAAGCTATATCTCTCTTTCAGGGTTTTGAAGCCTTGGATGTCTAGGAAGTTGCTGGAGAAGATTCCAGGCTCTGAGATAATGAATGGATCAGACAGATTCCAAACAAAAAGACATGACAGCTTCCCTGGGCATTGATTCTACAATGAACATAGCAGGTGCCTCCATTCTCTGCATTTGAACAGAAGATGGAAGACGGGGTCAAGACACCAAGGGAGGTGCAAGAAATGGAAGTTTAAAAATAAAGATGAAAATAAATAAATAAATAAATAAATAAAAATAAAGATGCATGTAAAAGCAACCCAAAATATACCTCCCCCCC